GGCCAAAAAGCTGCAGGGGGGTGTGTGTGTGTCACTGTCCGTCCCCTGGTGGGTGGGTGGGTGCCCCATGGCTTCCTATTTTTAGGGCTCCGCCGTGACGCCCTCGGGAGCTGGGTTTACACCACAGCGTGGGCATGGAGGGGGGGAAACCCCCAAAGTCTCGAATTCCTCCCCCCCATCCCTGATACACCCCCAAATCCCCCTTTGATCCCAAAAGGTGAGGGGGGGGAGGGTTACTGGGGCAGGTGGATGCCACTGGGAGCTAGCCCCGTGGCTGTTGATTCCTTGTCTAGACTGGGAATATCTCCCGGATCCAGGGATAAACAGGGATGGAGCATGGGGAGGGATAATTCACGGTTGAAGCTGTGAACGTGCCCCGCTGCAGGGTGAACGCCGCTGGGGTTCAGCGAGGAGCTGGGGTGCACGTCCTCCCCTTCTCTCCAGCCTAAATATCTCCTCCTCCTTGCCCCAAAGCAGAGCAGAGGCTCCAGGATCACAGTGGGAGGAGGAAGAGCAGCCCCCGGCATGGGAATTCCAGCCCGAGGCAGGGTGTAGGGCCAAAGCTGAGTTACCAACGAATATTTATTTGGGGAGGGGGAAAGGAAGCAGATGTATATACATATACATTCAGTCACGTACATTTCCTCCCAGAAAAAGGCCCCGTGAACATAATATTACATGAGAAGGTCTCCAGATTATTATTATTTAAAAGCTGGGGTTGTGCCCCAAAGGGCTCGCCGTAGAGGACAAGCGGCGACGGGTCCTTGCTGGCCTCGGATGCAATGAGCCCAGACGGGGACACGTTCGGTGGCAGCCGTGTGACAGTGTCCCTTCGGACACCTGAAGAACACAGGACTCGATCTCTTCTCTCCCTTGGCACGTGGGGCCAGTGTCCAAACCTCAAACTGGCTTCTGAGATCTCCTAAAACCGTGCCAGGATATTCGAGGCCAAATTTTCAGCCCCAGTCCTTCTCCCTTGGCCTCACATCTCAGCGAGGGGCTGGGGTGTGGTTTTGTGATGTCCGGAGGCCCGGGGTGAGATCTTCCGACCTGGAGAGAAGGAGGTGGCGAAGTGGTGCCGTACTTGGTGATTGTATTTAGCAAGGAGAAAACATGCACGGTAGCGATTTAGTGTTCCCATCTCGCCGCCTTCACACCCCTACCCTGTTCTAAAATGAACAAGTCCTCAGTCCCACTCCCTGCTGCAATGGGGGGACGCTCACCCCCACTCCCGCCCTCTCCCTCAGCGGGATGTTATTCTGGGAACGGCAAATTATTTTGCCCTGTGGCAGCTGGATGAGGAGGAGGGCGCAGGCTCGCCTGC